TACGATTTTTCTTAAACTTCTTTTACTCAGAGTCCTATCGGTGGACTATAGCGTGAGTCCAAAAATAAAAGCATTGAAATAATATAAGTGGTCCAAAAAGAGCCTCAATCTTGGAAAAAAGTTGAAAAATCCTTAAATTACTGAAAATGTTCTTCTATTTTTCTTTCTTTGGAAAACAGCTGAATGGATTTTTCTGAAACTTCTTGTACAGAAGGTAAGGTAACCAAACAACTTGTTAAAGCTATCCCGACAATGATCCAAAAGACGGAAGTAGTCGAAAAAATTTCGGATATTTTGAGAAAAAAACCCGTAAAAATTAAAAAAATGGAGATCTTGCGAAAAAAGTGATTACTACGCCAGATTTCACCGAATCAAAACAACTAAAGTGTCATTGGATAGTTCGAACAATGGACAATCTTATGAGATCTAAATGGTAAGAATTCGCCGGTGAAGCAATATATAATGGAACGCTGAAAATCTATTATTTTTCTTTTTGGAGCCTATTCAGACGCTTTTATTTCGAAAACTTCTCTTATTTCCTTTCTTAAACTTCTGTTACTTAGAGTCCTAACGGTGGTCTATGGTGTGAATCCAAATTTAAAAGCCTCAATATAGTATAAATGGTCCAAAAGGGCCACAATCTTTGAAAAGAAGTCGAAAAATCGTTATATCGGTAAATCTGCTTCTAATGATATAAGGGAGGTAAAACTGTCCAATGGATCTTTCTGAAACTTCTGGTACAGGAAATTAAGTTCCCATACCACTTGTTAAATCTATCCCGATAATGATCCGTAAACAGGAAGTAGTCAAATAAATATTCGATATTTTTTTTAAAAAAAAGACAGTAAAAAAATCGGTGCTCTTGCAACAATCGGGATTTCACCGTCGGGTGTGACCGGATCAAAACATCTAAAGTATCGTTTGGTAGCTCGATAAATGGGCTATTGTATGACACACTTCCTGTCTGATTCCTGAAAGCCGGTTCAGTGCTGCTTGCAGGTCTAGTTATTATTATTTATTTTTTTGTGGTAGATCCTATTTCTCAGTGCCTGTAACAGATACCTATATGGGACCTAATTTTCTATTCGGAAACCATGTGGTGGCTACTTGATAAACTTTTTTTGAAACTTCTGCGCAGACCGGAAGTGGCCGAATTTCGTGCGGTGCATAAAAATTAAAAAACGACCGTAGCTTCGTCAATTCTGTACCTATTTTCATACAAATGACATTTTCAGAAACCCTGAGTCTTTTCTCGGACGATAGCAGTTGAAAATTTTGAAATTTCGAAACTTCGTCGCTGACTTGTAGCCTTCGAAAAATGAAAAAATTTGTTTAAAAGACAATTTTTGTTATTTTTCAAAATTTTCAAATTTGACCTACATTTTTGGATACCTGAAGACCATCCGATTCCAGAAATATAATTTTCATTCTGAGTTATCGCCCTTTATTTTTCGATTTTTTTCGAATTTTCTGCCCATTGCCCAACTCTTATATTTTTGGGAAAGAATAAATCGATAGTTCTGAATGTCCTGGAACATAAAGCTATATAGTCAGACCGCTGCATAAAGTAATTTCAACAACGTTCCGTAAACCGGAAGTAGTCGAAATAATGATAGATATTTCGAAAAAAACGCAAAAAATGGGTGTTTTGGGGAAAAAATCGATTTCTCCGTCCAGTATTAATGGATTAAACGAATTAAGCTTTCGTTGAGTGGCCCGAGGAATGGACTGTCGTATGATGCCCAATTTATACGAATACTATGACCAAGTAGCAAAAAATATGACAAGCTGAAAATCAAGTATTTTCTGATTTGGGGCGTTTTTGGACGCCTGTATCTCGAAATCTTAACCGCAACTTTTTTTTTAACTTTCTCTATCGAGAGTCCATTCGATAGTCTTGTGAATTATGCCATCCAATAAGACTTTGAAATGTCTGGAATACAATAAAAAAGGGCAGAAAATCGAACAAAGTCGAATAATCGTGAAATTTTGCAAAATGCTCTATTACTTTATTATTTAAACAAATTTTTACAAAAAGATTACAGATTCGGATAGCTGATCTAATTACGATTCTAACGATGTATAATATGTATTGAGTTATTGAAATTTAATTTTCGATATTTTGACATTTTTGGATTTTTGGCACCTTTGAACATAGAATTTCTCAGGGTCATTTTATCTGATCAGATAATGTACTATATCATTACAGAGCCCTGCCGCTATTTAATTGCCCAAACTGGTTATTAAAACTATTCCGACAATAATCTCCATACCGGAAGTATTCAAAAAATTAAAAAAAAAGGTTAAAAAATTGTCGCTCTTGCGAAAAGCTGGATTTCTCGGTCAGATTTTACCGGATCAAAAGAAGTAAAGTGTTTTTGGATAGCCCCATTAATGGACTATTATATGGCATCTCAATGCGACGATTTCGATGGTTAGAAAATAAATTGTGGTACGCCGAAAATCTAGTATTTTCCGATTTTGGAGCCTTTTTAGACGTCTTTTTCTCGAAAACGACAACTCCGATTTTTCTGAAACTTTTTTAACGCAGAGTCCTATCGGTAGTCTGTGGCGTGAATCCAAAAGGAAAAGGTTTGAAATAATATAAGGGGTCCAAAAATGGCCTCAATCTTTGAAAAAAGTTGAAAAATCTTCAAATTATTGAAAATGTTCTTCTATTTATCTTTTTTACAAAAAACTACTGAATAGATGTTTCTGACACTTCTGTGACAGAAAGTTAAGTATCTAAACAAATTGTTAAAACTATCTCGACAATGATCCAAAAACCGGAATTAGTCGAAAAAATATCCGATATTTTTGAAAAAAAACTGTAAAAAGTAAAAGAAGTGGTGATCTTGTGAAAAAATGATAACTATGCCAGATTTCACCGAATCAAAACAACTAAAGTATCATTGTATACTATTAAAAAAAAGTAGGGGATATTTGATTTTGGGGGCATAATACTAAAATATGCAAATGACTACGAAAAAAGTCACTATAGAATCTAACAGAAGAAACATTTCCAGTTACATGTGACGCCCAAACGCACCAATAGCTACCGCATGGAATGCAGGTGATGCTTGGGAGCATCATGGGGGTCCAACCCAAGATTTGCACGACTCTGACTTTGAATGTTACAGTCATTGTGGCATTGAATTCCAGGGTGGAAACATCAGTTTAATTGTTTTAGTGACCAGAAAACAAATTTTGATATGCGTCGGCTTACCCAAAATGAAAGGTTACGTGCCCTTGGCATGCTACAGATCGGCACAACACAGGCGGTTGTGGCGCGGACGATGAATGTTTCTCAGTCTGTCATAAGCAGGCTATGGTCCAGATACCGTGATACACAATCTGTACAGGACAGACCACGCTCAGGTCGACCAAGGGCGACAACTCAAGCCCAGGATTGATTTATCCGTACCTTGGCCTTGAGAAATCGTGTCATCACAGCAAATCAGATCAGCGCTCGTCTTCAAACAGACACTGGTGTGAGAGTGAGTGGCCAGACGATTCGGAATCGACTGCATAGGGGTCACCTTCGCGCCCGACGTCCTCGCGTGATCCCTTGTTTGAGAGATCATCACATTCAGTCAAGACGTCGTTGGTGTAGGGATCGTCAACACTGGGATAATCGACGCTGGAGCAATGTGATATTTTCAAATGAGTCAAGGTTCACTGTTGATTTTTTGGACAGACGTAGGAGGGTGTGGCGTCGTCGAAACGAGCGCTTCCAAGACGTTAACGTCATCAGACATGATCGATTTGGGGGTGGTTCTGTTATGGTGTGGGGAGGCATCCCTGTTGCTGGAAGAACGGCTTTACATGTTGTTGCAGGGCGTGTTACAGGCCAGTACTACCGGGACAACATCTTGGCGTCATGGCCGCCGTTTCATCTTCCAGGATGACAACGCAAGATGTCACAGGGCCAGGATCGTTACAGGTTACCTCCAACAACAGAACATCACCACATTACCTTGGCCAGCACTGAGTCCCGACCTCTCCCCCATCGAGCATGTATGGGACATGCTTGGACAGAGGTTACGTCAACGTCAACAACGTCCTGCCAATGTCCAAGAACTTGCTGCTGCGTTGCAACAGGAATGGGACAATCTGGACCAAAATGACCTTAGACGTCTCATTAGGAGTATGCCACGTCGGATCAATGCTTGTTCGGCAAACAGAGGAGGATTTACCCGTTACTGACTTGGTTGTGATGCTGTGGTAACTTTGCTGTTTGACCCCGGGTATCATTTTACCCTTATAATGGTCAGTCTGTGCCTTACTTAGTCTAACGATCATTTGGAATAAATCGATGAATGTGAACTTCATTTCATTTTGTCATTTGTTTCTTCGTCAATTTCATTAGGTGACTTTAATAACACTTAAAAATCAAATATCCCCTACTTTTTTTGAATAGTATATATCCTGATCAATGGACGATTTTATGACATGTAAATGGTAAAAATTTGCTGGTTAGGCAATACATTATGGGACGCTGAAAATCTTGTATTTTCCTTTTTGGAGCCTATTCAGACGCTTTTATTTCGCAAACTACTCTTAATTCATTTCATAAACTTCTGTTACTTGGAGTCCTAGGGTGGTCTAGCCTCAATATATACTCATGTCGAAAAGAAAGTATACGCTGTGCATTTCATACTGCATCAACCAAAGTCGTTTTTCCATTCTATGCGGTATTTGGGTACAATTTCAATATGTTTCACCTTTTATTTTGCAAAAATCGTGATTTCTCAGCCGGGTGTCACTGAATCAAAACATCTAAAGTATCGTTTGGTAGCTCGATCAATTAATGGGCTAATGTATGACACACTTCCTGTTTGATTCCTGAATGCCGGTTTAGTGCTGCTTGCAGGTCTAGTTATTATTATTCTACTTTTGATTTTCGGCAAATCAGCGATATTGTTTCTATTTTTAGATACAAATCAGCGATATTGTTTCTATTTTTGGATACAAATCAGTGATATTGTTTCTATTTTTAGATACAAATCAGCGATATTATTTCAATCAGCAATATACTGTACCAGTACTTCTTATTCAACATAGATCATACATATCGGCCTGCCCTGGTAAGTATATTTGGAATGAAAATGTAGTCCTCTCCAAAATAAAAAGGACCTAGATCAAGTTCATTCAGTTAGACTATCAGATAGGCCTTGGAAGACTTGTTTATTTAGACCATTGACGATCACACTACATTGACACTCTTATTTTTATTGATTTGTGTCTTTTTATACGCCCACATGGAAATGTGGTCGTATATTGCCGTCCGTCCGTCCGTCGGTCCGTCTGTCCGTCCATCGTCCACAATTTCTTGTGAACACTCTACAGACTACATTTATCATCGGATTGTTTTGAAATTGATATATGTTGTTTGCATTAGTGAGATGAAGAAGCCTATTTTATTTCAATAACTTCCCTTGTTTCACTTTGTTGCACCTTGTGAACGCTCTAACGACAAAAGTTATCAATCGATCTGTATGAAATTTATATGCATCATTTAAATTAGTAAAACAAAGAAGCCTATTGAATTTCAGCAATTTCCGTTAATTACATCTAGAGTTATGGCCCTTGTTTCACTTTGTTGAATCTTGTGAACGCTCTAATGACAACAGTTATCATCCGATCTGTTTGAAATTGATATGCATCATTCAAATTAGTGAAATGAAGAAGCCTATTGAATTTGAGCAATTTCCGTTAATTACGCCGTGAGTTATGGCCCTTGTTTCACTTTGTTGTACCTTATTTATGCTCTAACGACAAAAGTTATTATCCGATCTGTATGAAATTTATATGCATCATTTAGATTAGTAAAACAAAGAAGCTTATTGAATTTCAGCAATTTCTGTTAATTACATCGAGAGTTATGGCCCTTGTTTCACTTTGTTGATTCTTGTGAATGCTCTAACAACAAAAGTTATCAACCGATCTGTATGAAATTTATATGCATCATTTAAATTGGTAAAACAAAGAAGCCTATTGAATTTCAGCAATTTCCGTTAATTACATCTAGAGTTATGGCCCTTGTTTCACTTTGTTGAATCTTGTGAACGCTCTAATGACAACAGTTATCATCCGATCTGTTTGAAATTGATATGCATCATTCAAATTAGTGAAATGAAGAAGCCTATTGAATTTGAGCAATTTCCGTTAATTACGCCGTGAGTTATGGCCCTAGTTTCACTTTGTTGTACCTTATTAATGCTCTAACGACAAAAGTTATTATCCGATCTGTATGAAATTTATATGCATCATTTAGATTAGTAAAACAAAGAAGCTTATTGAATTTCAGCAATTTCTGTTAATTACATCGAGAGTAATGGCCCTTGTTTCACTTTGTTGATTCTTGTGAATGCTCTAACAACAAAAGTTATCAACCGATCTGTATGAAATTTATATGCATCATTTAAATTAGTAAAACAAAGAAGCCTATTGAATTTCAGCAATTTCCGTTAATTACATCTACAGTTATGGCCCTTGTTTCACTTTGTTGAATCTTGTGAACGCTCTAATGACAACAGTTATCATCCGATCTGTTTGAAATTGATATGCATCATTCAAATTAGTGAAATGAAGAAGCCTATTGAATTTCAGCAATTTCCTTTAATTACGCCGTGAGTTATGGCCCTTGTTTCACTTTGTTGTACCTTGTTTATGCTCTAACGACAAAAGTTATTATCCGATCTGTATGAAATTTATATGCATCATTTAGATTAGTAAAACAAAGAATCTTATTGAATTTCAGCAATTTCCGTAATTACATCTAGAGTTATGGCCCTTGTTTCACTTGGTTGAATCTTTTGAACGCTCTAATGACAACAGTTATCATCCGATCTGTGAGAAATTGATATGCATCATTTAGATTAGTGCAACGAAGATTCCTATTGAATTTCAACAATTTCCGTTAATTACACAGTGAGTAATGGCCCTTTTTTCAGTTTGTTGTACCTTGTGAATGCTTTAACGACAAAAATTATTATCTGATCTGTATGAAATTTATAGGTATCATTTAAATTAGTAAATCGAACAAGCCTATTGAGTTTCAGCAAATATCCGTTAATTACATCTAGAGTTATGGCCCTTGTTTGACATTGTTGAATCTTGTGAACGCTTGAACGACAAAAGTTATCACCCAATCTGTATGAAATTCATATGCATCATTTAAATTAGTGAAATGAAGAAGCCTATTGAATGTCAGAAATTTCTGTCAATTACTTCTAGAGTTATGGCCCTTGTTTTACTTTGTTGAACCTTGTGAACGTTCGAACGACAAAAGTTATCATTCGATCCTTATGAAATTGATATGTATTATTTGAATTAGTAAAACGAAAAAGTCTGTCGAATTTCAACAATTTCTGTAGATTACTTCCAGAGTTACAGCCCTTGTTTTAGTTTTTAGAACCTTGTGAACCCTCAAACGACGAAAATTATAATGTCATCTGTATGAAATTGTCTATTAAATGCCCCTTAATTACCTACAAAAGAACAAATATACGACAACTCTTGTCGACCGCTCGGACGATTTAGCTGCTGTGGGCGTATGTTTAGTTGCCTGGCAACCTATCTTTTAATTTTAATCATGTAAAACACTTTCATCAGTATGTTAATTTTATTTCAAAACATTGACATAACATTACCTAATTACTTTACTTTCAGGTAAAATGGCAGAAACAGAATCATATCTTTCAGAGTATACTCTACCTAATGATACAGGTGTATGTCTGTTAGAATGTACCACAGCTTTCTCTGGTTTAACTGATAAAGAAAAACTTTATTCTCATTATATATCACAGGCAGCATTTACTGGTGGATTGATTGTATTGATACAGGTAATGTATAAATGTTAAAAACACATGTGAAATCTTACCCCATAACCTGTATGAGAGCACTACTGTAGTGACTACTAAGTCTATTCTCAATTGGTAAGCACTGTAATAAAAACTAACAAATTTATAAAATAAACAGATATTCCAGTCGGTCTTTGTATTATTTGTGTCGAGTGTGTTTTTTCAGACATCCCCAGAGTCTCCTGGTGTTTATCTTTTACTGCAGAAAGTGTTCCGTAGTCAGCCAATATCTGAGTTGGAAAAAATAGCTTTGGACAGTGGAGTTTCTGCAGAAGAGTTTCAAGTAAGTTGTTCATACAAATAATAGGTGAATGTGAATGAGAATAACTGGAATTGTTTTGATCATATGCTTTAAATTTTTTAAGCTTTGAATTAGGCCATATAAAAAAAATATTCTGGTTCTCAGATAATCCTGCGTCACTAAAAAAGGGCAACTAACATGTTTTTTTTTCAAAATTTTACTACTGTTACAGGAAGTAAATTGATAAAAAAATATATTGAATCCATAGGCTCATTTATGAAGTACACAACCCTGATAACTGTTAATGACAATCATAAATGATACTGGATAATGACACATTCGTATAATCAACATAATGAGATAAATGTAGTGCCCTGAAATTTGATGTGTATGAGAAGTCATTTAAGAAATTAGTGAATCAGTGACCCTTTGACAAAATAAAAACACAAAAATAAAAACCTCTCTTCCTCATCAGATTTTTGGTAAGGATTGTCTGAGAACCAGAATATTTTTTTCATGGCCTTGTATTGTATTATAAACACCTGGATGTCTTTCCACAGTATTTATTTCAAGAGGTAAAATATATTTAATAATATTTTATTGTTCCTTTTTTTCAGTCACTTTTGATTTATGCTGCTGGTTTTTATGCCAATATGGGCAATTATAAATCTTTTGGTGACAGTAAATTTATACCAAAGCTATCAAAGGTGAGTTTCCAAAATATTCTAAAAAAAAATGTGAATGAAATACAGTACTAACAAAGGTTTGCAGGAAATGGTCATCACATCACAATGTCCTTTTTATACGCCCACATTGAAATGTGGTTGTATATTGTCGTCGCCCCCGTGCGTCCGTCTGTCTGTCCATCCGTCCGTCCGTCCTGTCTTGAGACAAAGAAGCCTATTGATTTTCAGCGATTTCCGATAATTACTGCCAGAGTTATGGCCCTTGATCACTTCAAAAAATCTTGTGGAAGCTCTAGAAGCCAAAGTTAATATCCGATTGACCTTAAATTTATACACAGTGTTTAAGGTCATGAGACGAAGAAACCTATTGATTTTCAGCGATTTCCGATAATTATTGCCAGAGTTATGGCCCTTGATCACTTTGAAAAAAATCTTGTGGACGCTCTAGAGGCTAAAGTTAATATCCGATTGAGTTTAAATTTATACACAGTGTTTGAGGTCATGAGACGAAGATTCATATTGATTATCAACGATTTCCGATAATTACTGCCAAAGTTATGGCCCTTGATCACTTTGCAAAATCTTGTGATGCTCTAAAGGCTAAAGTTATCATCCAATTGACTTCATTTTGATACACCGAGTTTAAGATCTTGAGACGAACAAGTATATTGATTTTCAATGAATTTTTATGACTTGAACAGTTAAATCCATGATATTAAAAGCTTTGCATACAAAACGTTAGCATGGGGCAGAACTTTATAAAAACCAAACAAATTCTAATAGTTTTCTGATAATTACTTCGTGAGTTGTTGCTCTCAATCAGATTTTAGTGTATTATAAATGTTTCATTACCGAAAAAAGTAAAAATATGCGACAACCCTTGTTGACTGCCCGGACGATTTAGTTGCTGTGGGCGTATGTTTCGTTGCCTGGCAACCTATCTTTCGACTTTTTTTCAAAAATTGGGGCCCTTTTTGAACCGTTTATATTGACCCCTTTTAGATTTGCATTCACACCCTAAACCACCGTTAGGACCTTAAGTAACCGAAGTTTAAGAAACAAATTTAGAGTAGTTTTCGTGATAAAAGTGTCTGAATAGGCTCTAAAAAGAAAAATTCTAGATTTTCAGCGTCCCATAATCTATTGCCTTACGCATCGAATTTGTATCCTTTGGGTGTCATAAGAACGTCCATTATTCGGGCTATCCAATGAGACTTTATTTGTTTAGATTCGGTGAAATTCAAAGGTGAAATCACGTTTTTTGGGAAAAAATCTTCATTTTTTAACATTTTTTTTCAAAATATCTGATATTTTTTCGACTACTTCCGGTTTTCGGATCATTGTCGGGATAGCTTTAACAAGTTGTATAGATACTTAACTTCCTGTGCCAGAAGTGTTAGAAACATCCATTTAGTAGTATTCGAGAAAAAGATAAATAAAAGAGCATTTTCAATAATTTCACTATTTTTCAACTTTTTTCAAAGATTGAGGCCATTTTTGGACCACCTATATTATTTCAATGCTTTTATTTTTGGATTCACACCCTAAACCACCGATAGGACTCTGATTAAGAAAAGTTGAAGAAAAATCGTTGGCGTCATTTTCGAGAAAAAGGCGTCTCAGAATGCACCAAAAGGGAAAATTCTAGATTTTCCGCGTACCATAATTTATTTCCTAACCATCGAATTCTTATCATTTAGATGTCATAAGATAGTCTATTCATGGGACTATCCGACGACACTTTAATTGATTTGGTCCGCTAATATCTGACGGAGAATTTGAGTTTTTAACAAGAGCGCCATTTTTTTTTTCATTTTTTTACCTTTTTTTTCGTTTTTTAAACTACTTCCGGTATACGAATCATTGTCGGGTTGTTTTAACATCCGGTTTTGGAACTTGAATGGGCACAGGGCTTTATAATGATATACTAAATTAACCGATCAGATAAAATCACCCTGAGAAATCCTATGTTCAAAAATGCAAAAATGTCAAAATATCGAAAATTAAATTTCAATAACTGACTACATATTATACATGGTTAGAATCGCTATTAGGTCAGGTTTTTCAATTTATAGCTTTTTTGGGGGAATCTGTTAAAATAAACAAATAATAGAGAATTTTCCAAAATTTCACGATTTTTCCGACTTTTTTCAATTTTCAGTCCATTTTTTATCCTATTCCAGACGTCTCAAATTCTTATTGGATGGTTTCATGCACAAGACTACCGAAAGGACTCTCGAAAGAGAAAGTTTAAGAAAAATCCTTGGAGTAGTTTTCGAGATAAAGGCGTCCAAAAACGCTCCAAATCAGAAAATAGTATCCTTATAAATTTGGTATCATACGACAGTCCAATCATCATGCTACCCAATGATACATTAATTTGTTTAATCCGTTGAAATTGGACGGAGAAATCCTGTTTTTCCCAAAAGCACCAATTTTTTGCTCTTTTTTCAAAATATTGAGCATTATTTCGACTACTTCCGGTTTACGGATCGTTGTTGAAATTGCTTTATCCAACGGTCTGACAATATGGCTTTACGATCCTGGATTTTCAGAAAGATCGATTGATGCTTTCAAAAAAATATAAGGGTTGGAAAATGGGCAGAAAATTTGAAAAAAATCGAAAAATAAAAGGGGATAACTCGGAATGAAACTTATATTACTGGAATCGGAAGGACTTCAGGTATCCAAAAATGTAGGTCAAATTTGAAAATTTTGAAAAATAACAAAAATTGTCTCGAAAACAATGTGTTTTTAATTTTTGAACGATAAAAGTCATAGACGAATGTTCGAAATTGAAAAATGTGAGATAGCCATTATCTCGGAAAAGATTCAGGGTTTCCGAAAATGTCATTGTTTAAAAATAGGTAAAGAATTTTTATGACTTGAACAAATTCATGATATTAAAAGTTTTGTATACAAAACGTTAGCATGGGGCAGAACTTTATAAAAACCAAACAAATTCTAATGGTTTTCTGATAATTACTTCATGAGCTTTTGCTCTTAATCCGATTTTAGTGTATTATAAATGTTTCATTACCGAAAAAAGTAAGAATATGCGACAACTGTTGTTGACTGCCCGGACGATTTAACTGCTGTGGGCGTATGTTTCGTTGCCTGGCAACCTATCTTTGACAAGCAAGAGATGAAAAATTGTCCCCAAAATAGTGATAGGAAAACCATTTACATGCTCAAGCTAGGTTATTAACATTAACTTTGTGTTGCTCAAACATGCATCAATCATTTACATGTAAGCATATTGATAGGCAGCCTTATTCCTTTATGATTATAATTGTTGTATGGAATTTTGTGACATTTTCTTTTTTATTGTAATTTCCAGGAGAAGTTTGAACTTGTAGTTATGAAAAGTGCAGCAGCAAAATCTGATCCAAAAGGAATGAGATCATTATGGGATAGGGTCTCTGAGCGTCTCTATTCTCTAGACAGCAGACATAAAGAATTAGGACTTGGGGAAAATGTATAATACACATTTTTCTATATAAAGCCTAGCTCAAAACCTGCCGTACATGCTACAACTGGCAGTCTACGGGCTAAATTTGCAGTAAACCTGTGCGTGAGACTTTCGCATCACTTGTGTGTGTTCAGCTCTGCAGAAGAAAGCAGACTGGCCATAGAGACTTTTGGTCTTGCGAACTACCAAACCCTACGACCTGTGTGTGTCAAAACATGTACGGCAGGTTGTGGGCTAGGCTTAAGCCTTCTCTATATTATCCAATTAATTTTTTATAAAATTGAAACTTTTGTACAAATCTCTGATGAAAAATGACATAATTAATTCCGGAAATTTTCATTATTTGGGTCAGCTGATCAAACTATGATTAAATAACTGCACTGCAAGCGCGGAAAATTGGATGGCCGCATATGCATTTTCCTGCTGTTCCAGCCCGTGAATACAGTAACTTTAAAGTGGTCTAAGATGGCTGACTCGAATTCCAATCAAACTGCCGCAAACATGTTTTCCTGCTATTCCAGCCTGTGAATATCAATCAATCGTCACATGGTATAGGGGCCTCGCCCTCCAGGAGAAAATTTTGAGAATTTAACTACTGCAAATGCGTAATGTTGGTTGAGTTCGAATATCGTGAAAATCGGACCAAAACTGTCGGACAAAATGGCCACTCCTTGTACGCAAATAGTGTAAACATCTGGTATATCAAGGTTGTGGACCCTCTAGAGGTCACAATTTTGATCCGATTTTGATGAAACTTGAAATACATCTTTATAACCCACACCAGATATTTGCGCATATCGGATCGTAACTTCCTGAATTATGGCCCTTGATTGTACAAAATTTAGAGGTCACAATTTTTATCCGATTTAAGAAAAACGTGTGAATATATCACCGTTACACACTAAGATCTTGGTTCCTTTTGATAATTGCGGATATCCGAAGCAACTTCCTGGATTATGGCCCCTGATTATTCGAAAAATAGCATTTGTAGCTTGCGGATTCTCTAGAGGTCACAATTTTTTTTCCAGTTTTAAAAACCATTTAAATATATCACCATTCCACCATAATGAAGGTTGAATTCGAATTTCGGGAAAATTGAAATGAAACTGCCCAACAAAATGGCCGCTCTTTGTGTGCAAATTGTGTAAAAGTATTTAATATGAAGGCTGTTGACCCTCTAGAAGTCACAATTTTTATCCGATTTTGATAAAACTTGAAATGTTTGTTCATAACCCAAAGATCTTGGTTTCTTTCGATATTCGTGCATATCGGACCATATCTTCCTGGATTATGGCCCCTGATTGTACAAAAAATCACATTATTTTTTTTAGCTTGTTCCCTGTCCATCTCTTGCAAAATGTGGGTGTATACTGTATCTTGCTTGCATGTCAATCGCTTGTTTAATCAAATTATTAAAGATACATTATGGGAGGTTAGATAAAGAGCTGGCAGTTCTCACTATAATAGTTAAGAGTGTATCCGCGAGAAGACCAGGCAAAAATCGCAATATGTGCTAAGATGGGGGGGGGGGCGGAAGTTTTTGATCAAACTTATGGTATGACCCTGTCTAATAAAGTGAGTGGTCAACTTCCACCCCATCCTCGGTTACCCAGTGTACTCATTCCATTCTACTCCACTATACCCTGGGTTAATCTATGGGGGAGACACATTTTCAAGTTATCCGCCCTTGATGATTGTGCTATTTTTATCGACCAATCCCATAAATTGTTATTTGAAAAGGAATTTTGCAAAGGGAAGTAACTCTAATCTGACAATGTTAGGAGTTGGCCTATTCTAAATGCGTAATTTTTAACAACCAATTATATATTATGTTAATGAAGACCAGACGTTCGTATAATAACGTAGGGTCATTAGTTTTATTTAGAATCCTTCATTCGCTTCCAAAATTTTATGTCCACGTGATATCGTAGACAAGTTATTGTGAATGTTGTTGTTGTTCTTAGAGTTTAACGTCCGCTTCCACCGAAGGTGATATCGCAGACAAGTTGATTTTAATGATCTTAGCGCACGCGCAGGGGTCTTTGCTGTGGGAGGAAACCAGAGTACCCGGAGTAAACCCACGAGGTTGAGAAGGCGCCCCTATCTCCAAGCCACATAAGCTCACACCTGGGATCGAAACCACAGCCGCAAGCCAGAGGTGACCGGCCAACTAGAGGTCGAAGCGTGACACTCTAGACCATCCCAACCCCCCTTATTGTGAATCAAATTGCCAAGTATAAGTTCAATAATAATAAACATAACAGAATGACATATTTCAGACAAAAAACGAATAGTAATAATAATAACAAAAGTCAAACATATAGATGTTATACATATTTGAAATCAACAACACATGCTACAGATTTTGATAATACAATTAAATATAGATAAATTATAAATATATACATTATTTACATAAATCCTTCAGTAAAGGGACATGAATATGGTTATCTACCCTTTTAAAAACGAAGGCGAAACGATCGGTTTGTAAACTGTTTTCTGATTGGTTCGTAGATTGTAGCTACATTCTAGGCCAGGGCAGATAATTTGAAATCGTGGAAACCCTATGGATTAACCCAGGGTATAGTGGAGTAAAACGGAATGAGTACACTGGGTAACCGAGGATGCTTCCACCCCAGCACTAATTTGAAAAAAAAAAAAAAAAAAAAAAATCAGTCCATACTAATTTTTTGTGGACTTGTTTTAGGGTACCATATTCGCATTGTCACTGTAGTCCAGAAAAAGATACACTGTAACTTTTTCTTTCATGGTCGCAAGTAGAATTTCTTCGGATGGTTTTGAAGTGCTAAGCACATAGTATTAATAGGTGTAAACAAAAATGACCGGAATGCAACATACTTAAAATATAGAGCTTATTGAAAAGTGCTAAAAATAGGCTTTTGTGATACATCTTTTTGCAAATTTAATTAGCAAAATAAATTTTTGCCTTTTAACATATTTGTTGTATTGTCTCTTTAAGGTTTCATTTTCCAAAACGTCACCGAAAATGGCTACAAAATGTCCAATTTCAGAGCATGTTTCCACTCTTCATTTTGGGACACATCCACTGATTTCTACAATTCTACAATACAGAAATGTGGAAGCTTAAATTGTAACGGCAACGCAGCCTTGCGTCGGAGTGGGCAACGTTGAACAGTGTAACATGGTAGCTACGGTTCTCGAGTGCCGTCAGCTACACCGTCAGGGCCGGATTTAGAATAAGAGAGGCCCAAGGCAAATCCCCTGAACAGGGCCCGCGACATGGACCTTGGGCCCCTGGGACAAGCAACTCGGTGGGTGGGTCGTAGGCAATCATGCGGGTTGATGGTTTGAATCTCAATTTTAGGTGAATTTTTCATTTTTGTTTGGATTATTTTATTTAAAATAATGTCTACTTGAGAGTAATGGATATGTTTTGTTAAGATCATTTCATTGAGCACGTCGATACTCCAATGGAAGCTCGTGGACAACTGTGGAAGCAAATTCCCGTCGGCGCCAGATGGACCATGAACGATTTACAGGCCTTTTAAAGTATTTTTTCAAGACATTTTTATAAAACAGATACTAATGTATTTTAGGACTGGTAGCAAACACCATATGAATGAAAAGAAAAAATATTGTTAAGTTTTTTTTTTTTATCGACTACAGTTATCTCAAAAATAGGGAAATTACAGGTTAATTTCATGGGTTATTGTTTCCTTTACCTAGTTTTTGTCAAGTCGATTCCGGTCATTTTTATTTTTTGTATCAAATGTTGGGAAGTTGCTTGTTCACGAGAACATAATTTTTTTAAACCTAACCCACCATGAAAGAAGTAGCTATAGGGCGTCAAACTTTGGGTGACGAAAAATGGGGAATTTAGATAGGCTTTGATATCCAGTCCGTATACTGATCGTCTGAAATTAATTTTGTGGTAACCGCACTAGGTCATCTACAAACTGTGTGAGTTTGGTCTTTTTGCTACGTATAGTAAAGGTGTGAGGACTTGCCAAACTTGGTATTTGAGAAAAGACGGATTTGGGCAATTTCACAATATGAAATATGTTTTTTCAATTTTCTCAGTCAGGAATTGAAAGATTTATCTGATATTGCATATTTATGTGTTTTGGGACTATCCCAACTTATAAACCAAATTTGGTCAAAATCTGTGATTGAAGCCTTAGCACCTTCTGCATGGTGTTCTCGCAGACACGCTCTTATAAACTAGATACTGTAAAAGGAATTTGCTGAAAATATCAGTCAAATTGATTCACTATGAACCGAGATTTTAGCGATTGAATTTTTGGCCTAGCCTTGATCATTATTACTGTAGTCGGTAGGATAAAAATACATAGTCTCAATTATCCATTTCATGTCGAACAGCAAATTGGAACTTAATCCAATAAACATCGCAGCCTAGCGATGCCATCGAGGGTTGATTATTGTCTGAATAAGTTAATTAATGTCTAATTAATAATTTAGATAACATTTCAGGCCCAAAGAAAGACCTGCAATAGGCAGATTTAGCTCTTGCATAATGTATATTTAACTGTCAAATGTGTTTAAATCTGTTGAAAATCAAAAGAGGCCAAAAGGAAGGTCTGCATTTAGGTGGATTTAGCTCTTACATAATGCATCTTTAATGATGTGGACATATACCGGTAAGATTTACTAGCATTATAATATATTATATTATATATTATATTATATTATATTATATTATATTATATTATATTATATTATATTATATTATATTATATTATATTATATATTATATCTTGTACAGGGAACCACAACTTATTTTTCTGAAAATTGTGATAAAAGAGATGCAGAGATTGCCCAGAAATTCCTAAATAAAATGGTGAGATATCTACTTAACATCAGATAGAGTATATTTATCTAATTCACAGCTAAATAAAATGGAATAAAATATACCATGATTTTTATACGCCCACATTGAAATGTGGATGTATATTGTCGTCGCCCCCTTTCGTCCGTCTGTCCGTCCATCCATCCATCATCCATAATTTCTTGTGAACGCTCTAACGCCAAAAGTTATCATCCAGCTGTTTTAAAATTGATATATGTTGTTTACATTAGTGAGATGAAGCCTATTTAATTTCAATAATTCCAATTTATTACATCTAGAGTTATGGCCCTTGTTTCACTTTATTGAACCTTGTGAACGCTCCAACGCCAAAAGTTATCATCCAATCTTTCTGAAATTTATATGCATAATTTAGATTAGTGAAACGAAGAAGCGTATTAAATTTCAGCAATTTCTGCTTATTACGCCTAGAGTTATGGCCCTTGTATAACTTTACTGAACCTTGTGAACACTCTAACACCAAAAGTTATCACCCGATCTTTGTGAAATTTATATGCATGATTTAAATTAGTGAAACAAAGAAGCCTATTGAATTTCAGCAATTTCGGTCAATTACTTCTAGTGTTATGGCCTTTGTTTCACTTTGTTGCACCATGGGAACGCTCTAACGCTCTGCCGATCTGTATGAAATTTACATGTGTTATTTAAATTAGTCAAGAGAAGAATCCTATTGAATTTCAGCAATTTTCCATTTATTACTTCTAGAGTTATGGCCCTTGTTTCACTTTGTTGCACTTTGTGAACGCTCTAACCTCTAAAGTTAACTGCCGATCTGTATGAAATTTATATGTGCCATTTAAGTTAGTAAAAAGAACAATCCTATTGAATTTCAGCAATTTCCGTTTATTACGTCTAGAATTATGGCTCTTTTCACTTTATTGAACCTTGTGAACGCTCCAACGCCAAAAGTTATCATCGGATCTTTGTGAAATTTATATGCATTATTCAAATTAGTGAAACCACAAAGCCTATTGAATTTCAGCAATTTACAATAATTACTTCTAGGGTTATGGCCCTTGTTTCACTTTGTTAAACCTTGTTAATGCTTGATTGATGAAAGTTATCATCCGATATGTATGAAATTTATATGCATCATTTAAAATTGTGAAACATAGGTCTATTGAATTTCAGCAATTTCCGTCAATAATTTCTAGAGTTATGGCGATTGGGAACCTTGTGATCTGTATGAAATTTATATGCATTATTTAGATTAGTAAAACGAAAAAGCCTGTCAAATTTCAACAATTTCTGTAGATTACTTCCAGAGTTGAGACCCTTGTTTCAGTTTGTAGAACCTTGTAAAGCCTCAAACGACACAATTTCTAATCTGATGTGTATAGAACTGTCTTGTAAAGGCCCCAATTACCTACAAAGGAATAAATATGCGACAACCCTTGTCAACCGCTCGGACGATTTAGCTGATGTAGGCGTATGTTTCGTTGCCTGGCAACCTATCTTGTAAATTCTGAAATCACCTATACCAAGTGAATGTTAACACATGACACAATAGTATGGGATACAAGTTACTTAAAGGATTTATTTCAGCGATGTTTCGATGAGGGTTCTCCCGTCTTTATCAAGCCAAGTGGATGTTAACTGTCATTTATCACACTCTCCTGTCTTTGTTCACATAACTTTGGTAGAATTAGCAAGCAGATACATTTTTTGCATTTCTTTCTTTTCAGAATATAAGTGCATACAATACACGATTATTCAAAACTACTGATAAATCCTCTAATTTACCAGTTTATGAAATTCGTTTAGCATCATCTAACAATTCAGGTAAAAATATAAAATAGTTGATGGATCCACTAATAACGTTGTAGGAGTAGTCGCCCCCTTTAGTTAGCTTTCGTGGTTATCAGTTAAAAATATACTCTTCAAAAAAAGAAATCCATAGTGACATTTCATCGTCGGTATACCCTCGCTCTACCATTGCCTCGTTGCAACAGGAACTGTGACTCATTGCTGAACCAAACTGTTCTCCAGCGTTGCTGTGGCCATATGCTGTGTGTCTGAACCCATTGAAGTTGGATTTGACAGTGTTGGCATATTTCAAAACAACAGCGCTAACAGGACGCCTGGTTCGTAATATGGTTCGCGTAAGCGTCTATGGACTGTGGTCTGAGATCTGATGCCGTCAAGGAATTGCTGTTGCAGTAGACGTCGCTGTTGTGAACCATGTCCGCAAATAACATAAACGGATGTGACGATCCAGGGCAGGTGGGGGTCACTCTTGTTTGGCCTAGATTGGGCGGTCACATGTTTTACTTCGCTGTCAGGACAGTACCTATCCCAAAGGCTAAAGTTAATATTCGATTGACTTTAAATTTATACACAGTGTTTAAGGTCATGAGACGAAGAAGCCTATTGATTTTCAATGATTTCCGATAATTACTGCCAGAGTTATGGCCCTTGATCAGTTTGAAAAATCTTGTGGATGCTCTAGAGGCTAAAGTTAATATCCGATTGACTTTAAATTTAAAAGTAAAAATATGCGAGAACTTTTGGTAACTGCCCGGACGATATAGCTGCTGTGGGAGAATGTTTCGTTGCCTGGCAACCTATCTTTTTCAAAGTGGCAATATTTGAAGGTCATGAGTGTTTAAGGTCATGAGACGAAGAAACCTATTGATTTTCAGCGATTTCCGATAATTACTGCCAGAGTTGTGGCCCTTGATCACTTCAAAAAATCTTGTGGAGGCTCTAGAGTTAATATCCGATTGACTATAAATTTATATACAGTGTTTAAGGCCATGAAACGAAGAAGCCTATTGATTTTCAGCGATTTCTGATAATTACTGCCAGAGTTATGGCACTTGATCACTTCAAAAAATCTTGTGGACGCTCTAGAGGCTAAAGTTAATATACGATTGACTTTAAATTTATACACAGTGTTTAAGGTCATGAGACGAAGAAGCCTATTGATTTTGACCGATTTCTGGTAATTACTGCCAGAGTTATGGCCCTTGATCGCTTTGAAAAATCTTGTCGACACTCTAGAGGCTGAATTTCATATCCGATTGACTTTAAATTTATACACAGTGTTTAAAGTCATGAGACAAAGAAGTCTATTGATATTCAGCGATTTCCGATAATTACTGCCAGAGTTATGGCCCTTGATCACTTCAAAAAATCTTGTGGGGGCGCTAGAGGCTAAAGTTAATATCCGATTGACTTTAAATTTATATACAGTGTTTAAGGCCATGAAATGAAGAAGCTGATTGTTTTTCCGCGATTTATGATGATTACTGCCAGAGTTATGGCCCTTGATCACTTTGAAAAATTTTGTGATGTTCTAGAGGCTAAAGTTATCATCCAATTGACTTCAAATTGATACACAGAGTTTAAGATCTTGAGACGAACAAGTATATTGATTTTCAATGAATTTTTATGACTTGAACAGCTAAATCCATAATATTTAAAGTTTCGTATTTTAAACGTTAGCATGGGGCAGAACTTTATAAAAACCAAACAAATTCTAATGGTTTTCTGATGATTACTTCATGAGTTGTTACTTTTAATCAGATTTTAGTGTATTATAAATGTTTCATTACCGAAAAAAGTAAAAATATGCGACAACACTTGTTGACTGCCCGGACGATTTAGCTGCTGTGGGCGTATGTTTCGTTGCCTGGCAACCTATCTTTGTTATAAAACATATATCATATTTGTTGACCAAATTAGGTAACAATCCCTATTGATATCAAGGGTGGGGTGCATGTCCATTCCATATTTGGAATTTAGCTGTTATCAGTCTTTTATGTAAACACCACAGACAAAAGAGAGAGTGAGGGCTAGAATAGTCAGACTCGCATTGGGCTCTTTAGACAACCATTTCATGATGTAGTGGTTTTCTGAGTCTATTCACGCTGGTTAGACTTTTACAGTACTGGGGTTGGAGAGAAAGACATATTAATTTTAAATATTGTAATGTAGACTACTGTGTAACTGTTGTTACATAAAAACGTTTAACAAAAACACTATCGTTGTTCCTTTTACTTATTTGATTTCGGTATCGTTAGAAAACACAATGGTGAAGTCATTAAGAAGAAAGATACAACAGTAGCCGGTGAAAAGTTTGGGAGAATTTGCAACTATAAATCCTGGGCTCAGGATTTCAGCCAATCAGCAATCAGAAAAATCGTCATTACGGGCACTGATGTAAATATCAACAAAGACGCGCATTTGATTATTTTGTCCTGTGTTTTAACGAATTGTGAAGTGCTTTATCCACCAAGCAATCAAGAAGCCAGGCAAATTAGTTCAGTTTAGTGATGCCAGTTGAAATCTGTTGCGAACTACGCTTCTCAGTGCAAAATCTCAACGGAGAGGAGTAGAAAATTGCCATTTCATATCGTGATGTTTTTGAAGGTAAAGTAGGCCTACAATAATTCTCATTTCTCTCTTTCTCTCTCTTACACTGAAATGACAACTGATTTTATTCTTTAGGTCTATGGTTCAAACAATATTTAATATATAATTGCATGAAATATACAATAAATACACTGTAATAAATTATATGGATTTGGAAACAAACTATACTCAGCCAAATTAAAAACTTGACACTCAGGATTTTTGGGACTAGAGTTTTAATATTTGGTTTAAGGCAACTATTTTAGTGTTATGTTGTGCACAGACGACCTTGACATCAACAGAAAGCAAGAATACGTCTCACCAAAAGTCCTTGACATCGATAACGTTCGTGATGTCATAGTACCCCCCAAAATGAAATTCACAGACTTGGAGAACAATTGGAATAAAGTGTTTAGTAACGGTTGTGGCCTCCTCTAGCGTCTCGTACTGCCACACGTCTTCTCATGGATCTCAGAACATTAGTAAACACTACCCGAGGAAGACGTCGCCACTGCTCAGCAAGAGCATGTTGAAGGTCCTGCAACGTCAGTGGTGGATTCACTTGCTGACGAACACGTCAACCCAGTTCGTCCCAGATGTGTTCAATAGGATTAAGGTCGGGGCTAAGCGACGGCCAATCCAGGACGTGGACACCGGCATTTTTTAAAAAATTCTGGGTAGCAATTGCTGTATGGGGTCGAGCATTGTCTTGTTGAAACGTTAGTCCAGGCCCATGTCTCTGCATAAACGGAAGAAGAACAGGTTGCAAAATCTGATCCCTGTACTGGACAGCATTTAAGTTCCCTTGGACAACAACAAGAGGAGAACGTCCATGTGCACAAAAAGAACCCCAAACCATGACGCTGCCGCCACCAAATCGGTCAACTTCTCTGACGCATACTTGAGCGTAACGTTCACCTCGTCTGCGGTACACTCGGACCCTGCCATCGGCAAATCTCAAAGTGAATCGAGATTCGTCACTAAAGACAACCGAATTCCACTGTCTTTGAGTAAATCTTATGTGTCTTGTGGCCCACACAAGTCGGTTACGGCGATGAAGAGGTGTCAATATTGGTCCATTATAGGGCCTCCGAGCTCGAAGACCAGCAGCCTGCAAGCGATTTCGAACAGTTTGTGCAGTTACCCTTCCACCAAACATCTCTCTACTTGTGGAGGTTCTAAGATGACGTAATCATATTGCTTGATCTTCCTGGAGTGACGTCACATGTGGCGCTCCCGCCCTTGGGCGGTCGGCAATAGTTCCAGTTTGAAGCACTCTCATTCTAAGATTAATTATTGTCTGGCGTGAACAATTAAAGGCTCTTGCAACAGTGACCACAGACTGACCAGCATAGAGCCTACCTATAGCACGTAGACGTTCTACATTTGAAAGGCGTGGCATTTTCTAATAAAGATGAAAATGACAATTTTAATTTGTTTTTCCAGTTCAAGTTACGTGTGCGTGTTCAGTTTAAGCAAACTTGCATCGATTGACCTCACGAGTTTGTGTTTGCACGTGTTTTTCAGGTTTTTCATCTTTATATGCTCAAAAGTCACGTGATCCACGTGACTTTACAATTTTATCGTTAGAAACACTTTAAAATTTATTTGACTTACCAGAAAAAAAATTTTGTTGAAATTCATCAGTGTCAAGTTTTTAATTTGGCTGAGTATATAAAGCTTATATTAATCCGTCTTCAAATGGTAAAAAATAAATAAAATAAAAATGGCATGTCGAAGATAAATGTTTGACGCAATATCTAAACTTATTTTAATATTGTAGGAATTCTATTTCATACTGACCAGATACTGTAAAATGTTGAAAATTAGGTCATGCATTTTTTTTTCAAAATATAAACTTTATTCACAAAGAAGCTGTAATTTTTAACTTTTTGTAGGCTCAAAAGAAGAACCATTGAAGATCTATGGTTACCACTCCAAATGCTATCTCGCTGCTGTGATAAGCAATGGGTCTAACATTTGGAAAAGAGAGCCTTGAAAAGGGCCGCACCAGCAACACCCAAAACCCAAAATAGTCCCTCAACTTGTCACATTTTCTACCACAATGTAACTCAAGTTGATTTCGTTGCGGATCAGTACCCAGTTATAAGCATCAAGAATGCCGAGTGCAGTAGGCAAGCTAATAAAGGTGTGTCAAAATTTACAGCAAGGACCAAAACATTCCACTGCAGTGGTCATGTTTTCTTAGTAATGGAACAAACAAGGAAGCCCTTGGCAAAATATATTCTTCTACACCAAGTTTAATTAATATGTATGTTACCCATTGAAATTTATGTACCAAATTAAGTGCTGATAATGATGTCCTAAATATAGAGAATGTTTCTGAATTATACTCGGTTCATGAAGAGGCAGAAACTTATTCTTCATGCTAACCATGCTTCTACTCTAATGTTTATAGATATAGT